TATTTGTATAACTTCTAAAGACAAGCGTAATAAATAGATTAATTTTTCAAAATTAATTTTTTCTGAATTATTGACTTAAATATTTTTTGAAATAAAGTATTACATACCTATATGAAATTATATACGTCGTTCATACGCCTCGTATATTGCATAAACATCAAAATAAATTCAATACATCATAATATCATTTCGAAACTTGAGTCTTGAATTCAATAATCTAAAAAGAGAGATGAAATCTTTGAGAAATGACAATTATTTTTATTTAATTTATACAAATGTTAAAGCATTTTATTAAATAACGTTTAGAACCATCGAGAAAATGTATCTGTATCTGTAAACATTATAGAAAAACGTCTGTTTCTAGTGTGGCTCACTCAGGCTGTGTATAAGTTCGCTGAACTCAAGTATAGACTCAAGTTTGCATTACCTCAAATATGCGATATACGATCGTGCCTCGCAATCAACGACGTTATCGGCATTCGCCGATATCCAGCATGAAGGAAAAACGGAATCTAATAATCAGGCGTCGAGATACCTTACGTGTATCTCGAAGATAGAAAAGAACGACTGGATCGGTGATTGCCCGTCGCCGCTGTCATTCCACGTGTGTTCGAAAGCCGCGGTATATACACGGCTATCACCTGCGCTACCAGTTCTCCGTTATTTCATTGCAAATTACTTGCCGAGCTACGAGCCGCGTTATACAGTTATCACAATGAGAAAGTTGTTTCGATCCGAGACGTAGAGACGCACGAGTGACTTCGTCTGTGCGCGATTGCGACTCGAATGTGATTCGGAGTTCACTGCGCGTAAGTCGTAAACCTTGAACGAATGGAAGAAAATCGCTGTGAAAATCGCTGTGAAAATCGCGAATTAAATTTACAGTTTAACACTTGGTTCGCGACCTGCGGAATCGTTTAATAATAAGTCTTGCTCGTTCCATTTTTATTCTTCAATGTACGTTCGTTTTATTTTCAGATGACACTAAGGAAAAAAAGTTGCTGATTTAAAAAATATTTAGTTGATTCAAAATTAAATGTAGTTATCACAGGCTGTGAAACAAATATTTGTTAATTCACAAATTCAAAAATTCAAACAAATAACATGTTTTAAATTACAAGATTTTGTTAATATGACTCGTGTATATTTAACCTAAATATGTATTGAGTTGTCCAGAAAGTTCGTGCCGACTAACTTATATAATTTAATAAATGTATATTAAAATTTAAATTTTCTGCGTTTCGATTTTCCTTCAACATCGGCACGAACTTTCCGGACAACCCAACAAATACTTGAACTAAACACTGTACAAACTAAACGCATTTAGTTAACAAAGTTTTTTTTTTTTTTAGTGTAGAATATTGTTTTCCGATTTGTAGCATTACGATAGTATTATTTTTACATTTTTCGTATAGGATCCATAAGAATGATAATTCGACAAAAAGAAAGCAGATAAGCTGCTAATTATGAGATCGGATTTTGTGGATTGGAATATCTAAATTCTACGGAAAGAATAGCTTTATTGAAGTATCTAAAAATTTAGCTATAATAGATACAGATCTAAAAATAATTTTGTTGTAGTATCATTAAAATAATTATTTAAAAATCTCAAGCACGATGATCAATATCGCAAAAAAATTTTGATATTTTAGCAATCAGTTTGAGCGTTCGATATGATTATTTTGATGGTTCAAAATTATTCACAAAATTATTTTCAACAATATAAATTTTTAAATATATAAATATACTTCAACAAAACCATCCTTTCCATATAATCGTTTTGATAATCTAAACAAAAATTTTCATCTATATCTCTAAGTCTGTATCTAATTCAATTTTTAGGTAGGTATTTCAATAAAACCATTCCTTTCCATGTACAAGTATAAAAATTTGATAAGCTAATGCTGTACATAATCTGACAAGTCTTCATCGATTTAAAGACTATGAAATGAACAGAATTGAAGATACTCTTAAGAATTTATCCGTTTTAAATTGAAGAAGTAAAGAAAATGATAAAAGGTTTTAAAATTTTTTTCGATTAATTTTAATTGCTCGAACTGATGTTTAAATGTGTTTATAGATCGCAGTTAAGATTGAAAATTATGATCTCACTTATAGAGAGAGTTAATTTTATTAAATTATTTATTAAATTGTTTATTAAGTTATTTATGATCGACTGAAGAAAAACTTGCGCGACTTCTTTCATTCCGCGTCTTTCATTCTGCTAACCACAAATCGCGCACACGTGATTCCAATGTTCCGGTCGAGATCTTGTATCTTTTTTTTTTGTTTGCACTGTAGCGTGGCAAGGTAAGACGTCGCAAAAGAAGACTAAGAAGGACATGGGCATCACGTATGGTTGTAAGAAGTCGCGTGGCCCTTGAATGGCTACTCGATGGAAATGAAAGTAACACGTTTCGAATGCCAGCTAGTAGTGTGGACCGTGGATTTTTCATATTTCTCTCTCTCTCTCTCTCTCTCTCACTCATTCACTCACTCACTCACTCACTTACTCACTCACTTACTCACTCACTTACTCACTCACTGTTTGTTACTGCAACGACGACCTGATTTGTCCTTAAGCCAACGCTGTGGCATAAATGTCGACAGATCGAATCGTCCTTGAACGATAAAAGCTCGCATTCCTCCTGAAGTAGATGAGAAACTTCGATCAGTATCATGTTTCATTGATTATCCAACTTTCTAAATTCTCATAGAATGTGGAAGCAAAACGTGTTTTTTTTTTTTTTTTTTTTTTTTAAATGAGAAAACAAATTTTGTAATGTTATTGAAATACTACAATGTCATGATGCAATTCTATCCCATAATTGGAGACTGTAACAATGAGATCAAGGAAAATGACAAAACGAGCATAGAATTACTTTACATAAAGAATTATTTATTTAAATTAATATGTTCGTTGTTAGTGTGATTTCTTACCTTATTTATGAAATTTGTAATCTACTCATTAATAAGACGTGGAAAGATGAAGAGTTGATGGTGGGAAAATTGCAACACAGGTGTGATTTACAAGCGTAAGGGCGAAAGGTCATTACCCTTGGAATATACAGAAGATCAGTTTGTACGATGCTAATTGTAATATGTCGTCAAAGTTGTGACTCTGGACACTAACTTTTGTTTGTATACTTTACTTCGGATAATTGAATGTTAATATGTCCAGTTTCACTTTTCGTGCCGAGCCGCTAAACGACGTTCAGAAATCTTTCCGCGCATGTTGCTTGCGAAATTCCTCATTGTCCCGTGATGTTGGAAGAGGTGGAGGTAGAGGAGGAGGAGGAAACGAGGGGCGTATGTGTGCCAAGAGGTTTTTCTCAGTCGTCGACCGCGATAGATACGGTCGGATTGTTCGTTCGACGGAGAAAAGTCTTCACTCTCTTGGTGGCGAAATCGACACT